TTTTTTAAAATTTTTTTTTTTTTTTTTTTTTTTTTTTTTTTTTTTTTTAAGTTTAAAAAATATTTTTTACTATTAAACAGCGGAAGGTTTTTCAATGAGCTCGTTTGTTGTCCATTTTCGCGCTTTAATCATGTAACCCGAACTTTTTTGTTCTCTCATTTCTCCTGTAATCTTACGACGACAGTCGATCAAAGACCGCTCTTTGACTCTTTGTGATGATGAACGTCTCAGGGAAAAATATTTGGCATGTGTTATTTCCCTTACTTCCTTTATCGTCTCCGCTTCTATAAATTGTTTTGTATCGATCGATACCTAGATTTCTTTCAAGATCGTATCATTTAAAAAGACAAAGGAGTTTTTATCGTGGGGTCCCTAAAAAGCGCGGGGCCCCATAAAGGCGTTGGGGTAATTAAAAGGCATGGGGTCCCTAAAAGGCGTTGGGGTAATTAAAAGGCATGGGGTCCCTAAAAGGCGTTGGGTAACTAAAAAGCGTTGGGGTAATTAAAAGGCATGGGGCCCCATAAAGGCGTTGGGGTAACTAAAAGACGTTGGGGTCCCTAAAAGGCGTTGGGGTAATTAAAAGGCATGGGGTCCCTAAAAGGCGTTGGGTAACTAAAAAGCGCAGGGCCCCCAAAAGGCGTGGGGCCCCATAAAGGCGTTGGGTAAATAAAAGGCGTGGGGTCCCTAAAAGGCGTAAGCACTTGCCTCATTTGAATTTAGGTTAATGCGGCACTGCATTGATCATCTGGTAAAGACAAAGACCCATAGGTATTAATATCAGTTTGAGGATGGCTGTTATAGAGAGCTTGTTTACATAATATTTCTCGTGCGTGCCCTCTGATTGACCCCGCACGAGACGCTGTGTTCACAAAGGGTTGTGGCCTAGGCCTTTGATGTATTCTTGTTTACACCGCCAACTACTAAAAATAATTAATCTGTTCCAAGTAGTGTTTTGTAGAATGAATCTGATGGTTCTAGAAATGCCATGTAGCTTGTTGAAGGCAGGGCTTAGGCGTCGGTAGACCCACCTATATAAGGGATTGACAGGCACGGACGAGGGACGGAGATTCAGATAGATTTTCTTAACATTACGAGGCGTGTTTTATTCTTTGTGTATTTGTGAGCTTATATGTGTTTATTTCGCATTATTTATTGGCACATTATTCTAACTGTGTTAACTGT